TCCCTCCTGAAATTAGACCGGCCCCGCAGATTCAAAAAGAAAAGACCAATATTCCCTCCGACACATCCACTTACTCTAGAATAGCTCTGCAGGCTGATGGGCTGCGTGTGGCCCATGCTTACGAGTTGTTATGATCTCTCTTTTAAATTTAAATTCCAATTCGATCATAGGCACACACCCATCATTCTAGCAAGACATTAATATGAACAGATTGAACAATGCACTGAGCTGGCATTTCCTCTGCATGGCATTGATTGCGTAGGAAGCTGTGTGTGTGACTGAAAAAGGAAAAAAAAATGCCTGGCATATGAGCTCGATTCTTAATGGGTGAAAACTGAACAAGAACATACTGTCCGAGCCTGTCATTCTGCATTTCATCGTCTCTTGAAGAATCTCCTACCCCAGCTATAAATGTGATGGAAGGTGGTTTCCATCCAACTAATCAGAACATTATCACAATAAATTTTCAAAAGTTATCTTCGCAGCCTGTGGAGAACACAGTCATTGTTGTTTGTCGGCCATTACGGGCATAATTGGAAGTCCAGCTTGGTAGTTTTAGAGCAGAGTAGAAAGCTAGTACAGTTTTGCATTAAGAATAGAATAGAATAGAATAGAATAGAATAGAATAGAGCTGGGAGGGACCTTGGAGGTCATCTAGTCCAACCCCCCCACTCAGGCAGGAAACCCTATACCATTTCAGACAAATGGCTGTCCAGTCTCTTCTTAAAAACTTCCAGAGTCGGAGCATTCACTGCTTCTGGAGGCTGGTTGTTCCACTGGTTAATTGTTCTAACTGTCAGGAAGTTTATAATAATAATAATAATAATAATAATAATAATAATAATAATAATAATAATAATAAGAAGAAGAAGAAGAAGAAGAAGAAGAAGAAGAAGAAGAAGAAGAAGAAGAAGGAAGAAGAAGAAGAAGAGGAGGAGGAGGAGGAGGAAGAGGAAGAGGAAGAGGAAGAGGAAGAAGTTGGAAGGTACCTTGGAGGTCATCTAGTCCAACCCCCTGCTCAGGCAGGAAACCCTATACCATTTCAGAGAAATGGCTGTCCAGTCTCTTCTTAAAGACTTCCAGTGTTGGAGCATTCACCGCTTCTGGAGGCAGGTTGTTCCACTGGTTAATTGTTCTCACTGTCAGGAAGTTTCTCCTTAGTTCTAGGTTGCTTCTCTCCTTGATTAATTTCCACCCGTTGCTTCTTGTCCTGCCTTCAGGCGCCTTGGAAAATAGCTTGACTCCCTCTTCTTTGGGGCAGCCCCTGAGATATTGGAAGACTGCTATCCTGTCCCCCCTCGTCCTTCTCTTCACTAAATAGAGGTGGGAGAGGAAAAGTAGGAAGCGACAGTTATCCCAAGTGAAAGCAGCAGAATGGCTGGCCCCAAACAATAAGGATTTGGGGACCTGACATACATACTCAGTCGCCTCCTCCTATTATCTGCCTGGGGCCAGATCTAAACACATCACAGGCCAGATCTGGCCCGTGGGCCTTGAGTTTGACACGTCTGTTCTTACATGCATGCTTCAAAGGTTTCTATTAAATTTGCAAATTGGATTACACCTGGCAGCTTGGATGTTGTTCGGTCCTGGATAAAGAAAAGCATTTCTGAGTTGTTGTTGTTTTTTCCCCTATTTCTCTTAGCACTGGAGCATGTTCCAAATTCAGTCCGCTTATGGAAGGCAGCGGTTGAATTAGAAGAACCCGAGGACGCCAGGATAATGTTGAGCCGGGCAGTGGAATGCTGCCCCACCAGTGTGGAAGTAAGTTGGCAGATTGGTTTTATCCACGGTGTGTGTGTGTGTGTGTGTGTGTGTGTGTGTGTGTGTGAGAGAGAGAGAGAGAGAGAGAGAGAGAGAGAGAGAACCTCTTCTTCCAAGCACCAGAAGGCAGGACAAGAAGAAACGGGTAGAATATCATTAAAGAGAAATCGAACCTGGAACTAAGGAGAACGCTGGAGTTTTAAAAAAGAAATGGGACAACCACTTGTCTGAAATAGTATAGGGTTTCCTGCCTGAGTAGCGGGTTGGACTAGAAGACCTCCAAGGTCCCTTCCAACTCTTCTATTCTATTCTATTCTATTCTATTCTATTCTATTCTATTCTATTCTATTCTATTCTATTCTATTCTATTATTGTTCCATTATTGTTCTATTCTATTCTATTCCATTATTATTCTATTCTATTCTATTCTATTCTATTCTATTCTATTCTATTCTATTCTATTCTATTCTATTCTATTCTATTCTATTCTTGTTCCATTATTGTTCTATTCTATTCTATTCCATTATTATTCTATTCTATTCTATTCTATTCTATTCTATTCTATTCTATTCTATTCTATTCTATTCTATTCTATTCTATTCTATTCTATTCTATTCTATTCCATTCCATTCCATTCCCCATTCTTTTCCCCATTCCTTTCCCCATTCCATATCCTGTCCTGTCCTGTCCTGTCCTATCCTATCCTATCCTTTTATTCAGAGAGAGAGATTACTTGCATTTGTGCTGGTTGTTTCTCCTGGACAATACATCTTTATTCATTCCCATAGGTGAGAAGATAATACTCTCTCCATACCATCTTTATAGTGGAACAGGGTCATCGGGTGACATCCGATGGCCCATGCTTCTCTTTAGACAAAGACATTCCAATCTGGCTTGTGTCCAGGGAATCTTCCAATGCCCTTTAGAACTCCTCCCACTGACCCATTAACATGGGATGACTGATTAGCTAAGACTACATTTCCCATAAGCCATCTCTTAAGGAGACAGCACTAAACCCAATAAATGCCGGATATTCTAACATACAAACCTACATGCTCTAGTCAGGGTTACATAGAGTTATACGATCCAGAACAAGTCATAAGTGTGAAAAACGGTCATAAGTCATTTTTTTCTATGCCGTTGTAACTTTGGAAGGTCCCTAAATGAGTGGTTGTAAGTCAAATCAGCAAAAGTCTCGGAAGAGGCAGCTGGGCGGCCTTCCTGCCAACTCGGTTCCTCTCTTCCAGCTGTGGCTGGCCCTGGCGAGACTCGAAACCTATGAGAACGCCCGTAAGGTCTTAAACAAAGCCCGCGAGAACATTCCAACGGACCGGCACATCTGGATTACAGCTGCCAAGCTCGAGGAGGCCAACGGGAACACGCAGATGGTGGAGAAGATCATCGACCGAGCCATCACCTCTTTGAGGGCCAATGGAGTGGAAATCAACCGGGAACAGTGGATCCAGGTACTCATCTGAGCATGTCTCTTTGAAAGGCTGACTTTTCCTGAATCTGGCGTCTTCCTGGCTTTTTGAAATGAGGCCTCCCAAATTACTCAAGGCGCCAAGTCGGGGAAAAGCGGCTTTAGACCATTCTTTTTAATAATTTACTTCTTTCGATCTCACCTTTATTGTGTTTACACATAATTCAAGGCAGCGAACGTATCTCATCCTCCTCCCGCCTCCTATTCCCCCCCCCCACACAACAACGCTGTGGGGTGGGGTGGGCTGAGAGAGAGAGGGACTGGCCCAAAATCACCCAGCCGGCTTACATGCCTAAAGTGAGACCAGAACTCAGTGTCTCCTGATGATTGGCCCAAAGTCACCCAGCTGCCTTTTGTACTTCAGGTGGGATATTTTATTTGTTCAGGGCAGGTGGTACTATATGATAAAAATAGAATAGGAATAGGAATAGGAATAGAAACAGGAAAAGGAAAAGGAATGGGAACAGGAAAAGGAATGGGAATAGGAAAAGGAATGGGAATAGGAATAGAAATAGGAATAGGAAAAGGAATGGGAACAAATAGAAATAGGAAAAGAAATGGGAACAGGAATAGAAATAGGAAGGAAAAGGAATGGGAACAGGAATAGAAATAGGAACAGGAATAGGAATGGAATGGAATAAACAGACTGTAGAATAGAATAGAATCGAAATACGGAATAGAGTAGAATCGAAATACAGAATAGAGTAGAATCGAAATATAGAGTAGAGTAGAGTAGAATAGAATAGAATAGAATAGAATAAGGGAGTGGAGTGAAGTGGAAGGAAGAGAAGAGAACACAGAATAGAATAGAATAATAACTTCATTGTCACTTTAAATGTACAGTAATCAGCACACATTAAAATGAGATTTCGTTGCATATAGCTCTCAAAGGGCAACCACCCCCAATATACACTGCATAAACATGACAAAAATAATGATAATAATGCATATACCCACATGCACACACATATATGACCCAGAGGAAAAACATAGTTTAGTTTGGATGTATATACATATACATCTGGAATAGAATGAATACATGTGGAAAATCTATTGGAAAACGTCTCAGTACATTTCATAACAATTTCTGTGGAAGCTTGGGGCATGAGAAATATATGAGAATATTTGTCGCTCAAGATTGAAATAAGGGGTCCTCTCCGAGCTTGGTTGTTTTCTTGCAGATGTTTCATTACCCAAACTATGATTTTACCTAATTTGGGTACTCAAAAGCCTGCAAGAAATCAACCAGACTCAGAGAGCACCAAGGACACCTCAAATATATGAATGTTTCATGTGTTATGGATTGAAACAGCTGGTCTTCTGGAATCTACCCGAAATAGATGGGAGAGTTTAAGAAGGATGGTTGCAAAACACGCAATAGAAGAGAATATTTTTTTTCTGCTTCTTTCAGTTCTAGTCAAATATTTAATCACTGCCACCCCGTCAGCTAACGAAGCACATGTACAGTATCCGTCATTGCTCATCGCTCTAAAGTGAATTTTTCAAGAGAAAAGAATTATTATTACTGGGTTTTTTTCTCCCTTGGAAATGAAAAATGCTTAGCCTGAACATGCATTCTTCTAAGACAGCGGTTCTCAACCTATGGGTCGCGACCCCATTTGGGGTCGATCGACCATTTCACGGGGGTCGCCAAGCAAGGCTGTCTGCCATTTTTTCCCCCCTTTTCCGGCGGGTGCCTTACCTCCCTTGAGCTGGGCCAGCTGGTGGTCGGCCTGCTCCGTCTCTGCCGCTTGCCAGCTACGCCTCGGCCGGCGAAGGGGGCGGAACCACGCATGCGCGGCGCTCCCGGGCAGGGAAAGTCCTCAACTTACGACCGGTTGGGTAGTCCTCGACTTACGACCGGTTTAATCCTCGACTTACGACCGGTTTAGTCCTCGACTTGCGACCGGTTGGGGGGGTCGCGGCATTAAAAAGGTTGAGAACCACTATTCTAAGACAGGCGTCTTTAACCTTGGCAACTTTAAGACTAGTGGACTTCAACTCCCAGAATTCCATGCTGGCTGGGGAACTCTGGGAGTTGAAGTCCACAAATCTTGAAGTCGCACAAGGGTGGAGAGCCCTGTTCCCAGATATTGCGAATTCTCACCTCTGCTTGGGTGAAAACGCAGTGGCAAGGGGGAAAGAACAGCCAGTTCAGTTATGGACATTGCCAGGCTAGGACAAACTGATCCTCTCAAGGATGTGTGTGTTGGGATGGAATTGTCCCTTTTCTTGCCCTGCCTGAGGGACATCAAAATAATTTTTCCCCCCCCCAGGACGCTGAAGAATGCGATAAAGCTGGAAGCGTGGCCACGTGCCAAGCTATCATGAGAGCAGTCATTGGAATTGGGATTGAAGAGGAGGACCGCAAACACACCTGGATGGAAGATGCCGATAGTGTAAGTGCAAGACCTTAGGTGTGAAGCTGAGGACAGGCCCAGGTGGCAGAGTTAGAGGTGGAACACTATAGTTCAGGGGTCTTCAAACTGGGCCCTTTTATGACTTGTGGACTTCAACTCCCAGAATTCCTCAGCCAGGCTGAGGAATTCTGGGAGTTGAAGTCCACAAGTCATAAAAGGGCCCAGTTTGAAGACCCCTGGGTTAGCCTATGCAAGAGAAGGATTGGGGGCGGGGGATATGATAACAGAATAGCAGAGTTGGAAGGGACCTTGGAGGTCTTCTAGTCCAACTCAAGCAGGAAACCTTACATCATTTCAGACAAGTGGCTGTCCAGTCTCTTCTTAAAAACCTCCAGTGTTGGAGCACCCACAACTTCTGGAGACAAGTTGTTCCATGGATTAATTATTCTCACTGTCAGGAAATTCCTCCTTAGTTCTAGGTTGCTTCTCTCCTTGATTAGTTTCCATCCGTTGCTTCTTGTCCTGCCTTCAGGTGCTTTGGAGGATAGGTTGATACTCCCCCCTTCTCTGTGGCAGCCCCTTAGCTATTATGTCACAGAGAAAGGGGGGCTGAGGACAAGAAGTAATAGGGGTGGGGGAGATCATTAAAGAGAAATCCACCCTAGAAGTAAGAATAATTTTCTGAGAGTGAGAACAATTAATCAGTGGAACAGCTTGCCTCCAGAAGTTGTAAGATCTCCATCACTGGAGGTTTTCAAGAAGAGACTGGACAGCCATTTGACTGTGATAGTAAGGTCTCCTGCCTTGAGCAGGGGGTTGGACTAGAAGACCTCCAAGATCCCTTTCAGACCTATGGGTTCTACATTTTATGATTCTCCCTGTTGGGAGGGGATCAGCAGGTTGAGAGAGGCGTGCCTTGCTGAGGAATTCTGGGAGTTGAAGTCCATAAGTCATAAAAGGGCCAAGTTTGAAGACCCCCTGCTCACATTACCGGTTCCTCCCAGGAGCCCTGGTTGCGCAATGGTTAGAATGCAGTATTTGGGCAAATTCTGCCCACAGCCAGCAGTTCGATCCTGACCAGGTCAAGGTTGTCTCAGCCTTTCATCCTTCTGAGGTTGGTAAAACGAGGACCCGGATTGTTTCGGGGGCAATATGCTGACTCTGTAAACTGCTTAGAGAGGGCTGTAAAGCACTGTGAAGCGGTATATAAGTCTTAAGTGCTAATGCTATTGCTATGAAAAAAACCATTCCCACTGCCAGGAGTTCGATCCTGACCAGCTCAAGGTTGACTCAGCCTTCCATCCTTCGCAGGTCAGTAAAATGAGGACCCAGATTCTTGGGAGCAACATGCTGACTCTGTAAACCGCTTAGAGAGGGCCGTAAAGCACTGTGAAGCGGTATATAAGTCTTAAGTGCTATTTTATCTGACCGCTTTTATCAGTTGACACCTCTACCTGCCTTTTTTAGGACAGGGCTACCTCTAAAAAATGTTCTAGTCATTTTCTGATGTAAGCCACCCCCCCCTCTGAATTGTGATTTAAATTGGATATCTTTAGTGGGTGTGTACACTTACGACCCCAATTGAACCCAAAACACCCATTGCTCACCAAGGGAGTTGATAAGTGAGTTTTCTCCCATTTTACGTCCTTTTGGGGGGGAGGGGGGATTCGTTGTAACTTTGAACCATCGGTAAGTGACCGGTCGTAATTCGAGGAATGCTTGTAGTAGGCCTGCCAAAAAAATGTTCTTGATTGAATATGCAGATCAGATTATGACCGGTCACTAAAAACGGCTTGTTTGACCCGTGTTCCTTTTTTTTTCTCCTCATAGTGTGTGGCCCACAACGCCTTGGAGTGCGCCAGGGCAATTTACGCTTACGCCCTGCAGGTCTTCCCCAGCAAGAAGAGTGTCTGGCTACGAGCAGCCTATTTTGAAAAGAATCACGGAACGAGGTACTTCACACACACACCCCTGTGTGCTGCGTCACAAAAATTCTCCTGGAAGCTGGTTGGGGCGATTGTTTCAGTGGTGGTTTTGCTTCACTCACCCCTCGCCCTGAAAAGAAGGACTAGAGTTGACATGATAGCAGGGGCTGCCACAAAGAAGGGGGGGGGTCAACCTATCCTCCAAAGTGCTGTAAACTTGGATGGTCACTAAATGAACTGCTCAAAGTTACAACAAAGCAACAAAGATGATCAAGGGACTGGAGGCTAAAACATACAAGGAACGGTTGCAGGAATTGGGTATGTCTTGTTTAACGAAGAGAAGGACGAGGGGGGACATGATAGCAGTCTTCCAGTATCTTAGGGGCTGCCCCAAAGAAGAGGGAGTCAAGCTATTCTCTAAAGCACCTGAAGGCAGGACGAGAAGCAACAGATGGAAACTAATCAAGGAGAGAAGCAACCTAGAACTAAGGAGAAACTTCCTGACAGTTAGAACAATTAACCAGTGGAACAACCTGCCTCCTGAATGCTCCAACACTGGAAGTTTTTAAGAAGAGACTGGACAGCCATTTGTCTGAAATGGTATAGGGTTTCCTGCCTGAGCAGGGGGTTGGACTAGATGACCTCCAAGGTCCCTTCCAACTCTGTTATTCTATTCTATTCTATTCTATTCTATTCTATTCTATTGTATTCTATTCTATTCTATTCCTACTCTACTCTAACCTATTCCTATTCCACTCTACTCTACTCTACTCCACTCCACTCCACTCCATTCGCTAGATTCTTAACGCAACAAGGCTTCTAACGAAATGCCTGTTGGTGCACCTTTGCAAAATTGCATATCGGTAGTGCTCGACCTACGACCACAACTGAGCCCCAAATTTCTATTGCCACAGTTGTTAAGTGAATCACTGCAATTCTTAAGTTAGTGACATGGTGGTTAAGTGCATCTAGCTTCCTCATGGACTTTGCTTGTCAGAGGGTCATGAAAGGGAATCACGTGACTCTGGGACCCTGTAACCGTCATAAATATGAGTCCGTTGCCAAGCGCCTGAATTTTCATCACGTGATCACGGAGGGGCTGCAACGGTCGTAAGGGTGAAAAGCAGTCCTAAGCCAGTTTTTTCTGTGCTGTTGTAACTTCGAACGATGACTACCGTGTTTTCCCCAAAATAAGACCCAACTAGAAAATAAGTGCTAGCACAGAGGTAGGCAACCTTGACTCTTTTATGACTGGTGGACGTCAACTCCCAGAATTCCTGAGCCAGCATGGCTCAGCTTGGAAATCTCTCCCTTTCCCCTCAGCGTGGCTGGCTCAGGAATTCTGGGAGTTGAAGTCCACCAGTCATAAAAGAGGCAAGGTTGCCTATCCCTGCCCTAGCATGATTTTTCAGGATGCTCGTAATACAAGCCCCACCCCCAAAATAAGCTCCCGTTAAAATTGTCAGATGGACGCATTTAGTACCGTGTTTCCCCTAAAATAAGACTTAACCAGGAAAATAAGCCCTAATGTGTCTTTTGGAGCAAAAATTTATATAAGACCCGGTCTTAAGAGAAGGATGAGGGGGGACACGCTAGCAGTGTTCCAATATTTGAGGGGCTGCCACAAAGAAGGGAGGGTCCACCTATTCTCCAAAGCACCAGAGGGCAGGACAAGAAGCAATGGATGGAAACTCATCAAGGAGAGAAGCAACCTGAAACTAAGGAGAAACTTCCTGACAGTTAGAACAATTAACCAGTGGAACAACCTGCCTCCAGAAGCAGTGAATGCTCCAACACTGGAGGTTTTTAAGAAGAGACTGGACAGCCATTTGTCCGGAATGGCATAGGGCAGAGGTAGGCAACCTGGGCTCTTTTGTGACTCGTGGACTTCAACTCCCAGAATTCTTGAGCCAGCCACGCTGAGGGGAAAGGGAGAGTTTCCAAGCTGAGCCATGCTGGCTCAGGAATTCTGGGAGTTGAAGTCCACCAGTCATAAAAGAGCCAAGGTTGCCTACCCCTGGTATAGCGTCTCCTGCCTGAGCAGGGGGTTGGACTAGATGACCTCCAAGGTCCCTTCCAACTTTATTATTATTATTATTATTATTATTATTATTATTATTATTATTATTATTATTATTATTACTACTACTACTACTATTATTATTATTATTACTACTACTACTACTACTATGATTATTATGATTATTGGAACACATAAATGAACTGTTGTAAGTCAAGGGCTACCTGTGTTGCATCTTTAAATTTAAAATCACAAGCGAGATGCCCAGGCGATGGCGTGCTAATTTCTTTGGGCTGCTGTCTACTTTCAGGGAATCCTTGGAGGCTCTTTTGCAAAGGGCGGTGGCTCACTGCCCCAAGGCTGAAGTCTTGTGGCTCATGGGGGCAAAATCCAAATGGCTGGCTGGCGATGTCCCTGCAGCCAGGAGTATCCTGGCCTTGGCTTTCCAGGTGAGTGCACGGCGTTCATCGGGTCCTCCCCTTTGGCAGGGATCCCTTTGAAACAGAGGGCTAACAGCAGTATTTCTAAACCTTGGGAACTTGAAGATGTGTGGGCTTCAACTCCTAGAATTCCCTAGCCTGAACAACAAAGATGATTAGAGGACTGGAGGCTAAAGCATAGAAGGAACGGTTGCTGGAATTGGATGTGTCTAGTTTAATGAAGAGAAGGACGAGGGGGGACATGATAGCAGTGTTCCAATATCTCAGGGGCTGCCCCAAAGAAGAGGGAGTCAAGCTCTTCTCCAGAGCACCTGAAGGCAGGAGAAGAAGCAACGGATGGAAACTAATCAAGGAGAGAAGCAACCTAGAATGAAGGAGAAATTTCCTGACAGTTAGAACAATTAACCAGTGGAACAACCTGCCTCCAGAAGCGGTGAATGCTCCAACACTGGAAGTTTGTAAGAAGAGACTGGACAGCCATTTGTCCGAAATGGTATAGGGTTTCCTGCCTGAGCAGGGGGTTGGACTAGATGACCTCCAAGGTCCCTTCCAACTTTATTATTATTATTAAGTTGCCCATGTTGAGAAACCCTGTCTTCAAGCATTGAGCCCATTTCAGAAAGAAAGCTGTAGGGAGTGGGGAATTCTGGGAGTTGAAGTCCACCCAGCTTCAAGTTGCCAAGTTTGAGAAACACTGGATTACACAGTATTTTAGATTTTGTTTAGAAACATAACAGGCCATCTGCTCAAAAAGTTTCCAGGTGGTTGTTTTTTTTAAAAAATGAGATAAAAATATGATGTAGATCAGGCATGTCTGTGGGCTGCATACAGTTCTGATCAGCTAGTAATGTAGCCCCATAAGATAACAACAACAACAACAGGGCTGCCTAGATATATTCAATTCAATTTATTACAGCCAAAGGCCACACATAAATCAAACATCCAAATAAAACAAAACTAAACAGAACCATCATAAGAGGACATAGCAATACACCACAATCAACGATGCAATCAATGGGCCTAGTTTTACAGACAGTATATAAAAAACAAGCTAGCTTTGGAAAAAACTGAATCATACTGACCTGACAATAAACTGCCTAAATATATGGAAATCCTTTACTTATTAGACCTGAATATTTTGACTTTGCAAAGCACCACTCTACTCGAACTGCCCATGTACTTAGACCTCACTTTAACAGCTCTTAGGTCCTTGATTAGGACCTGAATTGTTAAGTTTTTATCAGCCCCAGACTGTGAATCGAATTGAAGATGAAATAATAATAATAACAACAATGAATAAAAGAAGTTGGTTATTTATACACATTTGTATATTAGTGCAGCCCTCCCGCTTTCTAAAGTGGTGTGTCTTAACCAGCAGACCAAACTGTCTCTCATGATACTTAGCTAGCACAAAGTGCCACTCATAACAGAATAGAACAGGGGTCTTCCAACTTGGCCCTTTTATGACTTGTGGACTTCAATTCCCAGAATTCCTTAGCCAGGCACACGTGTGCCTGGCTGAGGTATTCTGGGAGTTGAAGTCCACAAGTCATAAAAGGGCCAAGTTGGAAGACCCCTGGAATAGAAGAAGTGGAGGATTCAGCCCGATACATTCGCCCTGGTGCAACGAGACTTTTTCTGATGCTCCTTTCCTGTCTCTCTCGGTGACTTGATCTTTTCAGGCCAATCCCAACAGCGAAGAGATTTGGCTGGCGGCCGTGAAGTTGGAATCCGAAAACAACGAATACGAACGAGCGAGGCGCTTGTTGGCCAAGGCCCGTAGCAGCGCCCCCACGGCGAGGGTAAGTCCACTCTGTTTGCAGAATGTAAATCTGTTGAAAGAAGTTCCATCGCTGTCCGTTAACGCATCAAGCTGTGTTTTCTGCTCATCTGCTCGGTTCAGTGTATCCCAACCTTGGCCATTTCTAGCAGAAGGGACTTCAACTCCCAGAATTCCTATCAGTGGCTATGCTGTCCGGTCTAAGGCAGGACTAGAACTCAAAGTCTCCTGGGGATCCGCTCAAAATCACCCAACTGGCTTTCATGCCTAAAGCGGGACTAGAACTCACAGCTCCTGGTGATTGGCCCAAAGTGACCCAGCTGGCTTTCATGCCTAAGGCGGGACTAGAACTCATAGTCACCTAGTGATTGGCCTAAAGTCTCCCAGCCAGCTTTCATACCTAAGGCAAGACTAGAACTCACAGTTTCTAGTCTGATGCCTTAAATACTATACCAAATCAACTTGCAGGCTATAATTATTACAATTAATTTATTATTTAACAGGTTGGCAGACCAATTTTTCTCGTTTTATTTTTCATAGCATAGCATAGCATAGCATAGCATAGCATAGAATAGGAATAGGAATAGGAATAGAATAGGAATAGGAATAGAATAGGAATAGAGGAGTGGAGAGTGGAGTGGAGTAGAGTAGAATATAGAATAGAATATAGAATAGAAAAGAATAGAATATAGAATAGAATAGAATAGAATAGAATATAGAATATAGAATATAGAATATAGAATATAGAATATAGAATAGAATAGAATAGAATAGAATAGAATAGAATAGAATAGAATAATAACTTTATTGTCACTTTGAATGTACACTAATCAACAAACATTAAAATGATATTTAGTTGCATTCAGCTCTCAAAGGGTCACCCCCTCCGATCTACGCTACATAAAGATGACAAAAATAAATAAATAAATACAGAACATTGCCAAATAGGTAAAATCCGCACCTGTCGTTTACAATATTCCCATTTTTTTTCCTAAGTTGTTCCTAAGAAGCTTAGGAACAACTTGAAAGAAGCTGCTATGCTATTACAGCCAGGGTAGTTGAGTAGACCCTGTGCAGCACTTAATGTGCATCTGGCAGTTGTGGCCATCCTCAAAACCTCTAGTGAACGTGTGTGTGTGTGTGTGTGTGTGTGTGTAAAAAAATCTTGGAAGGTGGGGGATTCCTCTGGATTAGGGTCGAAGGCGAAGGCTCCTTGCTTCTTCCCAGGTCTTCATGAAGTCTGTCAAACTCGAGTGGGTGCTTGGGAACATCGCTGCAGCCCAGGAGCTCTGCGAGGAAGCCCTGAAGCATTACGAAGACTTCCCCAAACTCTGGATGATGAAAGGGCAGATAGAAGAGCAGGAGGAGCTGATGGAGAACGCCCGGGATGCCTACAATCAAGGGGTGAGCCTCTCTCGCTCGCTGGGAAGATCCTGGGCTGTCTCAGAATGTCCTTATTGTCCCTGTGCATGGGGAGTCCTTAAGCCAGACATGTCAAACACAAGGCCCGGGGGCCGGATGCGGCCCGTAATTTCATGTGGCCCGCGAAGCCATCCTGGAAACAGTGAGGGAACGGCCCCCTCTGCCTTGGCCCTGGCCCAGGCTGGCCGGGAGCCAATGTACAATTTTGTGGTGGCCATCTATGCTGAAACACATTCAGTCTTAGCTCCACAAGGCCGTCCAGAAACAGCGAGGAACCAGCCCCTGCCGCGTCGGCCCCACCCCCTGGGTGCATGCTGGGGAAGTGTCACCCTTTGTGAGGGATGAAGAAATGGACCATGCCTTGGCGCTTGCCCCGGTCCCACCCCCTTCTGCCAGAGACCCCCAGATCTGTCCCACTCCTGCCCAGGCCCCCACAGGCACCCTTGACGCGAACCATGTAGAGCTGGCCATGCCCACCCAGTAGGCCACACCCACTCCATCCACACCCACCCAGTAGGCCGCACCCACCCAGCCCCCTGAAGGCAACCGCAATGCTGATGCGGCCCTCAATGAAATTGAGTTTGACACCCCTGCCTTAAGCGAATATAGTGGTCATAAAGCGAACACGGTGCTCATTGAAAGAACATCAGAGTCATTCAGTGTCCACAGTGGGTGGGTTTTTTTGTTGGTTTTTTTGCCAGAAAGTGAAAATAATAGACCGGCTTCTACCCTGTTTCCCTGAAAGTAAGGCTTACCCCGAAAATAAGCCCTAGCTTGATTTTTTTGGGGGTGGGCCTAATATAAGCCCTACCCCCAAAATAAGCCCTAGTTTTGCAGTGAGGCACACACTTAAAAATCAAGCTAGGGTGGGGAGGTGGAGCTGACCCACGCACCCCACGCCCACTTTTTCCTTGCAGCCAGGCCTCTCCTCGCTGGCCCACTTCTTCTTCTGTGGCGTCTCCTGCAGCCAGGCCTGTATTTCTGGAAAGGCCAGTGCAGCCGAGAACCGAGTTATGGATTGAATCCATAGCTCGGTATTCGGCTGCAGAGGCCTTCCGGAAAGGCCTGACTGCGAAATGCAGGCCGGAGCTCCCATTATCAGCTGCAGAATGAAGCTGCTCCTTCTGCCACAGAAGAAGTGGGCCGGCTGGGCAGGGCTGTCGGTGCAGAAGATGAGTAAAAACACCCCCCCGAAAATAAGACCTGGTGCCTCTTTTGGAGGCAATAAATAAAAAAGAAAGAAAAAGAAAGAGGAAGGAAGGAAGGAAAGAAAGGAAAGAAAGAGAGAAAGAAAGAAAGAAAGAAAGAAAGGAAAGAAAGAAAGAAAGAGAAAGAAAGAAAGAAAGAAAGAGAAAGAAAGGAGGGAGGGGGGAGGGAGAGAGAAGGAAGGAAAGAATGGAAGGAAGAGGGAAGGAAGTAAAGAAAGAAAGGGAGAAGGAAAGAAAGAAAGAAGGAAGGAAGGAAAGAAAGAAAGAAAGAAAGAAAAGGGAGAGGGAAGGGAGGGATGGAGAGAAGGAAGGAAAGAAGGATGTAAGGAAGAAAAGAAAAAGGGAGAGAGAGAAAGAAAGAAGGGAGAGAGAAGGGAGGGATGGAGAGAGAAGGAAGGAAAGAAGGATGTAAGGAAGGAAAGAAAGAAAGGGAGAAAGAAAGAAAGGAAAGAAAGAAAGAAAAAGAAAGAAAGAAAGACCCGGTCTTATTTTTGGGGAATCACAGGTATGTTGAGGAATCACTGCAGTTATGAAGTTAGTAACAACAGTTGTTAAGTGAATCTGGCTTCCCCAACTGACTTTGCTTGTCAGAAGGTCGCAAAAGGGGATCACGTGACCCAGGGACCCTGCAACCGTCATAAGTACATGCCAGTTTCCAAGCCTTTGAATTTAGGTCAGTGACCATGGGGATGCTGCAACGGCCGTAAGTGTGCAAAAACGGTCATAAGTCACTTTTTTCAGTGCCCCCCTAAGTGAATGGTGATAAGTCGAGGACTTAACCCGTACAACATTTTCTCTCCGTCCACTTCCCAACAGCTGAAAAAATGCCCCGGTTCAATCCCCCTTTGGCTGCTGCTGTCCAGACTGGAGGAGAAGGTTGGCCAGCTCACCCGGGCGAGAGCCATCTTGGAGAAATCTCGCCTGAAGAATCCCAAGAACCAAGATTTGTGGTAAGGATCAGAAGCCGTGAAACAATATATCGGAGGGCTTTGAAGTTAAACTTCGCTGTTGATTGATTAACCCGTTAAGGAGTCCCTGCAGATTTTACCCCGCTCGTCATTGCTGACTGTAGGGGGCGCTGCTCACCTCCCCTTCAAGGCCGTTGAGCCAGCGCTGTCCAAAGGCATTTCCACGGTCACGTGGCCCGCATGACGTCACGGAGGGCTGTTACCTTCCCACCGAAGTGGTACCTATTTACCTACTCGCCTTTGCATGCTTCCCAACTGCTAGGAAGGGCAGGAGCTGGAGGAAGGAGCAGAAGCTCACCCCATCGCGTGGTGCTCGAGTCTCAAACCTGGGCAGCCAGCTTTTCTAGCCCAGAAAGCCGGCATCTTAACAGAACAGAATAAAGCTGGAAGGGACCTTGGAGGTCTTCTAGTACAGCCCCCTGCTCAAGCAGGAGAACCTATACCATCTCAGACAATCTCTTCTTAAAAATCTCCAGTGATGGAGCGCCCATGATTTCTGGGGGCAAGCGGTTCCACTGGTTGATTGTCCTCACTGTCAGGAAACATATCCTTAATTCTAGGTTGCTTCTGTCCTTGATCAGTTTCCAACCATTGTGTCTCGTCCTGCCTTCAGGTGCTTTGGAGAATAGCTTGACTCCCTCTTCTTTGGAGCAGCCCCTGAGATATTGGAACACTGCCATGTCCCCCCTTCTCCTCTTCATTAGACTGAGATACAGAGACATATAGACAGACATAGACCTGGCCCCCTCTGCCTTGTGGCAGCCCCTCAAGATACTGGGACACTGCTATCATGTCTCCCCTATTGCTTCTTTTCTTTAGACTAGCCCAGGGGTAGGCAACCTTGGTTCTTTTATGACTGGTGGACTTCAACTCCCAGAATTCCTAGCCAGCCACGCTGAGGGGAAAGGGAGAGGTTTCCAAGCTGAGCCATGCTGGTTCAGGAATTCTGGGAGTTGAAGTCCACGAGTCATAAAAGAGCCAAGGTTGCCTACCACTGTGCTAGGATGGCACTGAAGGACCCAATGTTGGGTTTAGACCAGGGGTAGGCAACCTTGGCTCTTTTATGACTGGTGGACTTCAACTCCCAGAATTCCTGAGCCAGCCACACTGAGGGGAAAGGGAGAGGTTTCCAAGCTGAGTCATGCTGGCTCAGGAATTCTGGGAGTTGAAGTCCACGAGTCATAAAAGACCCATGATTGCCTACCCCCTGAACTAGCCAAACCCAGCGGCTGAGCCACTGTGTCGCCCTGTTGATTACCTCTTCACTGCTTTGTTTTTTACATATAGTAGATAGAGGATAGGCCAAGTTGGTTGTAAATAGATATAGAAGTTTATAAATTATGGGCCTGCTTCGCAAGGGGGAGGAGAGAAACTAACATTGCTGCAATACGTTAATCAGCCAGGGGAGATAACATATGTATACGTCCTTTGGTCTTTCGTCTTTTTTAATGCACATTTCTTTTTAAAAAACCCTCTATTTTGGTTTCTTTTTGTAAAATGTCTTTTTTCCCCTTTCTTTCTTTCTTTCTTTCTTTCTTTCTTTCTTTCTTTCTTTCTTTCTTTCTTTCTTTCTTTCTTTCTTTCTTTCTTTCTTTTTGGGGGAATTTGTGTTTTAATTTTCTGAATAAAATGAAATGTTGTTTAATAAAAGGAAGGATGAAAGCTGGTGGGAAGCCTTCCTGGTGCTCCCTTCCAGCTTTTCTAGCCAAAACCTGGTTCTCTCTCTGTTTCTGTAGGTTGGAATCGGTACGCTTGGAGTACCGAGCTGGGCTGAAGAACATCGCAAACACTTTGATGGCAAAAGCCCTGCAGGAGTGTCCCAATTCAGGTACGAGATTGGGTCTAGGACGGGGGTCTCCAATTGCAGCCGTGTGCTGCTGCTGCCAAAAAAGCCAACACAGTGCTAGGCTGCATCAACTTAAGATACAGAAGGATCTGGACAGACTTGAACACGGGGCGCTATCTAACAAAATGAAATTCAATGGTGAAAAAAGCAAGGTTCTACACTTAGGCAAGAAAAACCAAATGCACAGGTATAGTATAGGGGGTACCTTGCTCAATAGTAGTAACTGTGAGAGGGATCTTGGAGTCCTAGTGGACAATCACTTAAATATGAGCCAGCCGTGTGCTGCAGCTGCCAAAAAAGCCAACACAGTGCTGGGCTGCATTAACAGAGGGACAGAATCAAGATCACGTGAAGTGTGAATACCACTTTACAATGCCTGTTAATACCACTTTGCAATGCCTCAGTAAGGCCACACTTGGAATACTGCATCCAGTTTTGGTCACCGCGATGTAAAAAAGATGTTGAGACTCTAGAAAGAGTGCAGAGAAGAGCAACAAAGATGATTAGGGGACTGGAGGCTAAAACATATAAGGAAAGGCTGCTGGAATTGGGTATGTCTAGTTTAATGAAGAGAAGGACGAGGGGGGACATGATAGCAGCCTTCCAGTATCTCAGGGGCTGCCCCAAAGAAGAGGGAGTCAAGCTATTCTCCAAAGCGCCTGAAGGCAGGATAAGAAGCAACGGATGGAAACTAATCCAGGAGAGACGCAACCTAGCGCTAAGGAGAAATTTCCTGACAGAACAATTAACCAGTGGAACAACCTGCCTCCAGAAGCGGTGAATGCTCCAACACTGGAAGTTTTTAAGAAGAGACTGGACAACCATATGTCTGAAATGGTATAGCGTTTCCTGCCTGAGCAGGGGGTTGGACTAGAAGACCTCCAAGGTCCCTTCCAACTCTGTTATTCTATTCTATTCTAACTCCCAGGCCACTACCGGGCCATGGCCTGTTTGAAAGTGGTGGCAACTTCTGGTGGCAAGTCGTTCCACTGATTAATTGTTCTCCCTGTCAGGAAATTTCTCCTCAGTTCCAGGTTGCTTCTCTCCGTGGTTAGTTTCCATCCGTTGCTTCTCATCTTTGGAAAGTTTGCTTTGGAAAATACTTTGGACCCCCCCCTTGTCTTTGTAGGAGCCCCTCCTAAGCTTTGGAGAAGTCTTTCATAACTTTAGTTGCTAAGCGACTGGTCGTAAGTCAAGGGCAATCTGCATGAATTTGAGATAGTCCTGGATCAGTTTTGTCTTCTGCCTTTTAGGAATTCTGTGGTCGGAAGCCATCTTTTTAGAGGCCAGACCTCAACGGAAGACCAAGAGCGTGGACGCCCTGAAGAAGTGTGAACACGATCCCCATGTCCTCCTGGCAGTGGCCAAGTAAGTAATAACGCCTGTTTATTTTAAGGAGGTTGAATACACCCACCTCAAGCAGTTGTTAATTGGATACACATTCAAAACTCCTCACTGTTTTAAAAAAAAGGTCAAAAGGAATATTTGCTGAGAGACTGAGAGCCTAGGCACGGGGTAGGCAACCTTGGCTCTTTTATGACTCGTGGACTTCAACTCCCAGAATTCCTGAGCCAGCCACGCTGAGGGAAAAGGGAGACGTTTCCAAGCTGAGCCATGCTGGCTCAGGAATTCTGGGAGTTGAAGTCCACGAGTCATGAGGGGGCCAAGTTTGAAGACCCCTGGTTTAAATATTTAAATATTTTTTCCTCACGGTCACGTGATCAAAATTCAGGCATTTGGACAGAGATAGGCACCCTTTTCTCTTTTATGACTTGTGGACTTCAACTCCCAGAATTCCTGAGTCAGCCACGCTGAGGGAAAAGGGAGAGGTTTCCAAGCTGAGCCATGCTGGCTCAGGAATTCTGGGAGTTGAAGTCCACCAGTCATAAAAGAGCCAAGGTTGCCTAACCCTGGCCTAGGCCAGTGTTTCTCAACCGTGGCAGTTTAAAAATGTGTGGACTTCCAACTCCCAGAATTCCCCAGCTTTCCTGCAGGGTTCAGATGGCTGGACCACTTTAGTGCTTCTCAACCTTGGCAACTTTGAGGATGTGTGGACTCCAACATTGCTGGCTGGGGAATTTTGGGAATTGAAGTCTACACATCTTCAAAGTTGCCAAGGTTGAGAAACATTGTAATAGGTGAAAGTAAGCAAAGGGTAATTTCACGCCTCTCTCTTGTAGTTTTTGCTATTCCTCAGCACCACTTTACGTTCGCTTCTCTCTTCTCCACACGGATCAAAAGGAACGGAGTTTGCGGGGTGGGAGAAAGAGAGCTGGAAAGGCTGTTGACAGTTTTGAAGAGAAAAGTGAAAACAACATGGGCAGCCCTGGGTCGACTCTACCCATCTTTGTTTCTTCCTTTGTGTTGATGAAACAGAAATAAAATAACAATGCAGACCAGACGGCCCTTTGAAAGGAAAATGCTTTAAGGAAGGAAGGAAGGAAGGAAGGAAGGAGGGAAGGAAGGAAGGAAGGAAGGAAAAGGAAGGAGGGAGGGAAGGAAGGAAGGAAGGAAAGGAAGGAAGGAAGGAGCGAGCGAGGGAAGGAAGGAAGGAAAAGGAAGGAGGGAGGGAAGGAAGGAAGGAGGGAGGAAGGAAAAGGAAGGAAGGAGCGAGGGAAGGAAGGAAGGAAAAGGAAGGGAAGGAAGGAAGGAGCAAGGGAAGGAAGGAAAAGGAAGGAGGGAGGGAAGGAAGGAAGGAAAAGGAAGGAAGGAAGGGAAAAAAAGGTGGAATGGATTATATTGGGAGAGAGAATCCGGGCCATCTCTTGTGTCTTAAACACCTTTTATTAAAAGGCCGCTCACCAAAGCTTCATTGGGAGGGAAAGTTTGTCTCCCCTTTAGGGCGTTGGACTAGAGGACCTCCAAGGTCCCTTTCAACCCGATCATTCTACGTTGTTTGCCAAGAAAACAAACAAACAAAAGCCACCCTCCTGTGTTCAGAGACACCCTTGTTATATTTCTGTTGGCCCGAAAGCAGAACTTTTTTTTTGCAATTAAGCCTGAGTGGATCCTTCCGTCCTTTTCCTTTGACTGTGAAAGATTAGGGAACAGGCAGTGGGTTCCTTGGGCTACTGCCAGGGACTCCCTTCTTGTTACCATCCCTGTCATCACAACAGCACTCGCCGTTCCTTTTCCATTACTCTAATGAGCAGAGGAGCACTGGACGTCCTCACCGAATCCTCTCCCGGCCCAGATTGAGTAGAGGAAAATTCCAGGGAAGGCTGGGCGCCGTTTCCTCCATCTCTACCCTGAAAGCCATTAATAAAGGGGAACATTTGTAGCTTAGGGTCCTGGGTGGTCTCTGAGCTGGCTGGTTTTCTTGCAGACATTCCTATGGAGGTTCTCATGGTTGTCCCAAAGGTGTTTTTTTCAGGAAGCAAATGGACTTCCTTGTTTTTCTTGGAAGACATTTCGCTTCTCATCCAGGAAGCTTCTTCAGCTCTGACTAGGATGGTGGAGGATGGAAGGATTTATACTCCTTGCAGACAGCTGGTCATTTGCCTTCTTTTAGAGAGTCGTTGAGACCACCTGGAGGCTTATCTGTGTCCTCAGGGTCACCTGAATAGTGTGCAAATGGGCGTGGAGCCTTCTTGGAACTGCTGAAAGGACTGTGTTGTAGACTGGAGATAGACAATGTTGTATTCCCCTCCCTCCCCGTTGAGCGAGGGCTGTTCAGTTTGGACCTAGATGGCCTCTTGGACCCCTCTTTCAAACCAGCGGTCCTCTCTGTCCAAAAGGTGGGCTTTGCTGTCTTCAAAATGTCTTTTAAATGCAGATGGACTGCTGAATCTGGTCCTGATGGGCTTGTTCTCCTATGTCAGTGATGGCGAACCTTTTAGAGACCGAGTGCCCAAACTACAACCAAAAACCCACTTATGCATCGTCGGGTGCTGGCTGGGTGTCGCCCATTGGGTGGGCATGGCTGCGCTGGTCACGGCAGACTGGGTGGGACTAAAAAGTTCAAACCAATCAATTCCAACTTTGGAGGAACTTTTTTTTTCCCGCGAGAAGTTGAAATTGACTGAACCTTTTTTTTTTTTTGCACACGGCGGCGGAGGCCTAAAGCGAAAAGCTTTTATAAAACCCAGCTGAGGGCCTAGGACTGGGGCGACGGCGCGCGTGCCCACAGAGAGGGCTCTGAGTG